TTTTATTCTGAAGCTAGATGCTGACCTGAAACGTCCAGATATAACAAAGAACAAGGCACAGCGATGGTACGAGTTCCTGGTTATGCACGTGTTCTGTAAGAACATAGGGAATAACGACCGTGTGAGCCTGTACACCGAGTTGTGACGTAAACACGCTACTGAGGCTCGAGGCAAGGGACATGAAACAAAGTTTTATCTATCCCGACTTACGTGGGAACAGTTTTGTGAGAATGTATCCACCCTTTTTCCCGCACACCGAGTAATATCGAAGGGAAAAGCGGCTGTTAAGAAGCCGCGGGAGCACACCGATCACGGGTACGTATCCAGGCAGACCTCAAACGAGAGACCCCAACATACACGTGCTCGTGACTCCACTCTATCCACGCGACCCAATAAACGGGCACGTGCGGTGGCGAAGGACAAGGAACCTCTATTTAAGGATATTAAGAAATGTGCCGACGCACAGTGTAGGTATGACATGTACCAATTGACCCCTAACGGTTATCGGAATGGCAGGCATGCATTCACTTGTACAAACTTTCTTATTAAGTGCGACAAGTGTGAGAAGACCAATGGCTATCACACTAAGTATTGTGACAAAAAGCCCGACATTAAGTTGAAGTGAAAGTACTACCAGGTACACTCGTTACACAGACAATACAACGACTCTTTAGATGAGCGTGTATTAATCCCTGTCTATTGCAATGGAAATAAACTCCTTGCGTTGATTGACCCAGGTTCACAAATTTCATGTATATCCGATCGCTTTGCATTAATGAAAGATATCGAAAGGAGAACACAAACAACTCACCTCATTTTAGCTGATGATAAAACTTCTAAGTGTGATACCATGGCCACAGATGTTTAAATCTCCCTGGCCGATGATAGGAGTATCACTACCCAAGCTGTGATAGTTCAGATGTCACAGAAGTACGACATTATAGTCGGAATGAGCGATTTACTCACTCTAGGTATAACCGTAACTGGTCTACCAAATAACATATATCCATTAAAGGATCAGTCAGACGATAACTGTCTGAATCCATATAAGCCCCAGTCAGACACAGTCAAGGCATTAATACCTGACTTTGCGAACAAAATCATAGATCTGATTCTAGTTAATAAGAAGATAAAGATCACAGAATGGGCAAAATTCCGTTTTAAGGACGGGTATGTCAGCCTTGACTTAACCACGGTGGACTTTACATAGTTAAAGTGTCCCTCAAGGAACTATTTATCCTGGAGACACGAGGCTGTGGTAAAAGAACAAGTTGAGAAATGGCTAGCAGATGGAGTGATAGAAATTAACTATCAACAGACCAACATAACTCTTGACGGATCGTTTAAGAAAGTCAGAGTATGTTTAGATATGAGTCCGATAAATAAATTATTACCGACTCATAGCTTTCACTTACCTCGAATTAACGAGCTACTGCGAAGGATGGAAGGTGCTACAGTATTTACAACTGTAGACCTTACACAAGGATACCATCCAATGCAGGTACATGAACCACATCGTAAATACTTTAGTTTTACGTGGAAAGGTAAACAATACAGGTTCAGAAGTGCACCTTTCGGGTTACACTCTTTACCAGCATTCTTCCAACAAGTAATGGAGGAAATGTTTGCAGACATGCCTAACGCGCAAGTCAATATAGATGACATAGTCGTCTTTTCTAAGACCAAAAGCGAACATGCCGCATTAGTCAGGCGAGTCCTTAAGAGACTCAACGAGCAAAACTTCAAGATTAACGAGAAGAATGTCACTTCGCAATGAGCGAAATACAGCTCTTAGGCTACCGTATATCTGGGGTAGGTATTAAAATCGACCCCGGTAAGGTAGAACACCTGTTAGATCGGCGAACACCAATTACAGGAAGAGATGTTAACAGCATGTGTGGGTTTGTAAATTTCTTTTCAGATGGAGTACCACACTTAACTGATTACCTTAAACCTTTTGGACACTTAAGATGTCATAAAGGCAAACTAGGATACTTGTGGACTAAAGAGTGTGATGACGCATTTAAAGCGCTCAAACACGCAGTCCAGCAAGCCCCTGATGTACAAGGACCAATCGATGGCGTACCGTTTGAAATAGCAACGGACGCCTCCGACTTGGCCTTAGGAGAAGTATTATATCAGATTATAGATAACAAACCTAGATATATACAATTCTTTAGTCGAGCAATGAATGCTTCACAGTTGAATTACCCAACTGTTAAACAAGAGCTATTAGCCATAGTGGCAGCTCTAACACACTTCCGAGAATACTTATACGGAACAGCATTTACGCTGATGTGTGATCAGAAATCTCTTCAATATATGAAAGAGATAAAACCCGACTCACAATTACTGAGTCGCTGGCATGATACAATATCAAAGTTTCATTTTGATATAAAACACCTGCCAGGAATACATGACCATTTACCGGATATGTTATCACGCTTCGTACCGTACTTTAATAAATCCGTACGTGAGTTACTAGCCACTGACTGGAAATGTAATCCCAGGTGGTTTGAACTGGCTCAAAAGAAATTTGGGTCACATTCCATAGTTATGTTTGCTGCACATCATAATGCACAACTATCGAATTAAAGGACTTTAAATCATCCTTTGGGAGACGCCTTTCAAATAGACCTCGCCAAATATAATGCGTGGGCTAATCCACCATGGCAGTTAATTGCCCAGCTATTAAATTATGTTCATATACATGAAGCTACCATCACGTTGTATTGCCCATTACGGAGTAAAGATCCATGGCTCAATAAATTAATAAGCATGATACAATGCGACCCAATATATTTAGATAGGGAAGTAAATACTTTCCTATATCAGGGTACTCGAGCCGTCCAGAAGCCGCCCTGGAGATATACTATAATATGTCGTATAGGTCCCATTGGAACTACCAAATGAACCCCTTCTGAGACCTTCCTTAACAAGGTCAAAGAATCAGAGATTACACTCTCTACTAAATTGAACGTTAAGCAGTTCAAAGGCAACACAGCAGTCC